TGTGTTTCGGTTATGCAAGCTATGTCAATATTATGATGGTTAAGAAATGCCATTAAGGAGTTCCTTTGGGATTTAATACCGTTGGCGTTCCAATTTAGCAAAATTGCGTTATGGGGAACCATGAGTGTTTTGATTTAGGCTATTTATGATGACGGGCAGATTTTCGATTATTTTCTGCATGAGTTGAGTGATGAAGGTATTTATAAGTGGTAGGAGCGTTTTCATGAAGCCGTTGTCGCTATCTGCGTTGTTAGTTGAATTACTGTTGGAGTTATTTTTGCATGCAGAGGCATACGTAATATGATCATTAGTGTTATCTTTGTTAGTATATACATGCTGATTAGCCGGTTTAGGCATTGAATTACTATAATTATTGTTATGGCGAGGATTAGCGACTGTTTTATTTTTGTTTTTTGTTATATCTTTATAAAATGTACAGCCTCTGTAACTAGCTGGATGGTCACCGTTGCAATTGACGCATTTAGCAGGAGTTTTTAGAATTTTTTGACATTGGGTATAGTGATGGTCGCCCGCGCATTTAACACACCTGGGCGGTAAATGACAAAATTTTTTAGTGTGCGAGAATCTTTGGCAGTTTGTACACTGAGGGATGCCAGTTGATGGTTTTCTTGGCTCTACGGAAACTACACAGTGTAACAATCTATTTAAAGAGTAAATGTCGGGTGATGATTTTTTGAGGAGAACGGCGACGATTGGAATAGGATTTTTATAACGGTTTTGGAGACGTGTCACGGTGTCTACTTCGAAGTTAAGTTCTTTCAGCTCGTTGAAAATCATTTCCTCCGTTATCGGAATTGGGAGGTTCCTGATGACAACTGATAATTGTTTTTCAGTTTGGAATTGGTAGGTATGATATTTAATTTCAGATTCGTTGAAACTTTTTGTAATCGATCTGTAATCTTCGATTGAGCTTAGGTTTAATTTTAATGAATTTTTTGTATGTGTGACTGAGAATTCGTCAAAAGTTTGATTAGATAAAGAAGTATGAAATGTTTCGAAATTTGAAATATCGTAGACGTAAATTGGCGGTATTTTGGGACTAACCTGTGCGTCCTGTGCGTTGTCGTTTGTGGAAACGCCGTCTTGGTCAAGTTCGTCGTCGATGTTTTGAAGCGGAGTAAATTTGTTTTTGCTTTGAAAGGGTGGAGTAAGTGGAGCTGCGTTTGTTCTCTTTCTTGGGGCGTGTTGTAGAATGCGGGTTTGGGGAGACCCGCGACCCCTATTTGAAGGCATGTTAAAACGGTTACGAAGTATATATGTTACGGTAAACAGAGCACGGAGGACAACCTGCTACGACGGCTACTGATAACCAACTGAGAAATATGCCTAATATTTTAATGTTTTACTTAATTCAAGTTAGATTGGTATTAAGTTATCAGGACAAATTAATAACTAATTGATTAATGTTGATTTTCAAATTGAATTACTTATGTAGGTAGTACCTACCAATTAGCTCACCTAACCTTTTTGTTTTTATATCTATAAGTTGAATGCATATATTGTAATTTTGCAGTGGGTCGTAGGGTATTTCACAAAAGAAAATAAATATTCTGTAATTCCATTCAATTGGATTTTAAACTGCGGTAAAGTTTACTTTTCTAAATGGCCAATATCTGGCATAGTAAACACAATGATTACCAAAGCAAGTGATCCAGAGGTAGATTGGCCAACATTTCCTTTGAAAATAGTTTCACAAATTTTCAGTAAGTACCTATTACAAACTAACTATTAAATGCTCAAAATACAATTTTATGTTCAAATCAGTAGTAATTTCTTTTTAAAATATAATTAAGTTAGTGAGAAATATAAAATATTTATAATATTATGCGATATAGGCAATTATGTTTATTAATTAAATTATATTTAATATACTCCTTTGTTGAACAATTTTTTATTTTGATAATTATAGATACATTTGAAGATGCTAAGTTGAAAGAAAAAGAATTATTCTTGTCTGCATCAGAATCTGAAAGTCCAGAAAAAAAAAAGAAAAAAAAAAATCTTATCCAGCACAAACTGTTGAAGAAAGTGACAGTGGTAAGTCATATGATTTTAATTTTCCAAAATTGGTAAATTATGCATAGGTACATTTTACATATTATCTACTTAGTACTTATTGTTAAAATATACTAATTTTTGCATTACAGCTTGTAGTAGTACACACACAACTCCCATAAAAGTGTTGAAAACCAATCATGTAGTGGACTTACAACAAAGTGGATCTTCAAACTATATTGAACTGCAAAATAACCAATTTTCCCATCAGTTATTGCCCATCAACTTTATTTCTTGTATGTATTAAATTTAGTTATAATTTACTGATGATAACAATTAATATTAATAATATATGTTTAGCATCTTTGGACACTTTGCAGTATGATACTAATTGTTATACCGTTGAAAACAATTTGCCTATTCCTTTGTGTGAATCTAACATTCCAAGTATGGATCATTCCATTTCAAGTATGTGTTATATTTGTTATTTAAAACATGCAGTTGTTTAAAATATAGGCTTTACAATTATTAGTAAAATAATTTATAATTTAGGCAAATTAACAGAAAATGGGGAAGAGTCAATTAATAAGAATGATGACAATATGATGCAAAATGTATTTAAAAATGTTATTTCTATACTTGCATATGTAAAACGGTTGGACAGCAAGATAGATTCCTTAATTCAAACCAATCAAAATATAAAAAAAAATTTAACTGTAAATAACGCCTTTGAAAAAATATTTCCATTTGAAAATGTAGAATCTGTGGATGATATGGAAAATAAATTAAATTTGGATGAAAACACTTCTGTTCAATTGGTATTTAGATATTATAATAATATTTAAGTTATTAGTATAATTATTTATTTCTTTTGTTATTTTTATAGACAAATTTCTTGCAAAAAATTGGAGGCACAGGTCTTAAAAATTTTATTAAAAGGGTGTTGGAAAGATTATTTACTAATCAACTATCTACAAAATATTCATGGACAGGTTTTAAAGATAACTATGCGCTTAGAAATTTAAAAATCATAAAAATCATGAAAGGTTATTTATTTATATACAAATAATTATTTTTGTCAATATTATTGTTTACAAAACTCACTGTTTTGTATCATTATTAGATGTTGCCATTAGTACTTTTTCCGAAACTGAAGCTAATTTTGAAGCACATACTAAAGATTGGTTCCGTCATGGCTCTCAAAGATATAGCAGAGAACAACAAAAAGAATCTTCATAAGCATTAAATTCTTAAGTATTTATTACATTAAAAGGTATTATTTTTTTTATTTTTTTTTGTTAATTATTATTACAAAGAAGAAATTATTTTATTTTATACTTTAATAGATTATGAACAACCTAACATTTGTATATTAATCTAACAATGATGTATCTATAATATTAACATCTATAAACATTTTTAAAATATTCAGAGATGTTTATTTTATTTATTATTTTTTTTTTTAAAGGACAATACAATAATGTGCTTTGTTACAATTTGTATATATTTGTTAATTATTATAATAAAGAAAAAGTGATTCTATTATAAATTATGTTTTTGTTATATAACATGATTTGCAGTTATGACTTATTTAAAATATTATTACTTAAAATATCAACATAATATTATACTAATTGTGTTTTTGTCAAAATGTTTGAACTTTGCCTATTTTTAATTATTAACCCATCCATTGCCTAAGCAAAATATGCTTCAAATCTAGAACTAAACAAGACACAAGTACTGAATAGGTAGAATAAGATCATTGACCAAAGCAAAGATAGTTAGGCTATTATCAGTTTAAAAAAACATGTGATGGTGTTAAAACCAGATTAAAATTATGTATAGCTTATACATAAGACAAGAATGGTAAAATTATTTTTAGAAGCAAAGGTCCTCAAGGCTTGTTATAATATTAACCAAATAGGTATAATGATAAAATAAATAATTACAATTTATAGCTGTTAATAAGGTATTTAATTATTTTAATTTTAATAGATGTGTTTGTATTCTCTGTTCATATTATAATTAATCTTTAAATTTTAGTTTCGAAAAAAGAAAGCTATACATTCTACAACAAAAAGGCATTTTTTACGCTACATTCAAAGTGATGTTATATCAAATCAACTATCATTCAATAATCAAATTACAAACACTTATGTCAGGTTACAAGAACCTGAAATGAACCCAACAACAGACAATTTAAATGATTTTTCAAATATGGATTTACAAATACCAATTGCATCTAATTCATCATCACTAGTTTTATTTGATAACTTCTCCAATGTAGATAATTCTGAAGTTAGTGATTCTAAGTTAGTGATTATTAGTAATAACTTAAATGATAATTATTCTGATGATGAAAATCCATTAAAAAAAAAAATTACAACAGTGGATAAGTGATTATCATGTTTCTCATAATTGTGTAAATTCGCTTTTGTCAATTTTGAGATCAGAAGGATTAAAATTGCCTAAAGATGCCAGGACATTATTGAAAACACCTAAAGCTCATGAACATAGCATAATAAATATTCACCCCGGCATATATACACCTTGGAGTAGAATTTATGTTAACTAAAATCTTAACTGCGAATCTTGGTTTTATTGAACAAAATACTTTAATACAACTTGGGTTTAATATTGATGGCATTCCTCTAACATCAAGTTCAAAATCAAGTTTTTGGCCAATTTTTTTAAGCTTTGTAAATATTCCTAAGTTATTCAATATTGTAATACCGGTGGGTATTTATCATGGCAAGTATAAAAAACCATCATCTAGTCATGAATTTTTACAATATTTTACTTCTGAAATGAAAATGATTTTAACAAATGGAGTATGTATAAAAAATAAATTATTAAAATTTGAAATTAGTCAAATTGTGTGTGATGCACCAGCAAAATCATTTATTTTAAACGTGAAAGGTCATAATGCCTATCATGGGTGTAATTCCTGTATTGTTGAAGGGACATATATTGATAATAAAAGGATGGCCTACCTAGATTTAAATGCCCCTTTAAGATCAAATCAATCTTTTCGAGATAAACAGGATTCATTTTATCACAAAGACTCGAGCCCCTTAGAAGAATTTCCAATTGATATAACATCGACAGTCGTACTCGAATATATGCATAATATTTGTTTAGGGGTAATGAAGAAGCTAATTGTATTCTGGGTGAAAGGTAACAAATCTGTTCGTTTAGTAGATCCAAATACTGTTTCAGAAGAATTGATTAATCTTAAATGTCATTTACCATCAGAATTTAATCGCTTGCCCAGATCACTTGAAGAATGTGAACATTGGAAGGCAACAGAATTTCGCACTTTCCTTCTTTATACAGGTCCTATTGTGTTAAAAGGGAGATTGAAAAAACCTCTATTTAAACATTTTATGCTCTTAAACTATGCCATAAGACTTCTTATTTCTTCGGAAAGTTGTCATACTTATAACAATTTGGCTAAAGACATATTAATAAGATTTGTACGTGAATATGGATCTTATTATGGTGAAGGGTATGTTGGATATAATGTCCATGGTTTAATACATGTAGCTGATTTTGTTCTAATACATGGACATTTAGATTTATTTAGTGCGTTTAAGTATGAGAATTATTTACAGTTTTTAAAAAAAAGTTGTAAAAATGATAGATTTCCTCTCCAAGATGCATATAATCGCATCATAGAAAAAATGAACGTTCAAATTAAAACTATACCTCTTGTTTATCCAATATTGAAACGAGAGTTAAAATTCAATTATAATTTAAATAATTCATTAACTGAAACTTTGTATGAACAAGTTGCATTAGAGCAATTTGTGATAAGTTCCAAAAGTGTTAAAGATAAATATTTTATGTTGCAAAATAATGATATTGTTGAAGTTACCAAAATAGTAAAATATTTTAATGGTGAGATTAAAATTGAAGCAATTAAATTTAATCATTCACCCATGTTTGATTATCCATCAACCTCAGATTTAACAAAAATATTTTATATCAATGAAATCATTCCAAAAGTTCAACCAATTTTGATCACTTTAAAAAGTTTAAAACATAAGTGCTTTGTAATACCAATAGATACTTGTAAATATATAGCTATGGCATTACTTCACTCATCATAATATATTTTACAAAATGTTGTTAAAAACTAAAACATATTTAAAAAAAATTGTGTATTATATACCTACATTATAGGTAGGTAGGTATCGAATTTTGTTATTATTAGGTTTTATTATTATAATATTATTATTATTATTATTATTATACCTATATATTATTATAACCTACAATTAAATATCATTTTTTATGATCAATTTGTGCTGTATAAATAAAAGGTACCTATTTTATTTGTTTATTACTACTATATTTTTAATTCCTATTGATATGTTCTTAAAATATATCATAGTACCTACCTATTATTTATAATGTAATTTGTTAGATATATATTAATATAACTAAGACAATCTGTTTTATTTTGTAACTATATATTTATATACTTGCAGTTTTTAATAAACAATATAAGAAATTATCTACCTAACAAAATGTATTTTATTATATTAGATACTTACCTACTATTTAAATAACTATACCTATGTGTATAATTTAGTACCTACCTAAGTATATTAGGTATATTATTATTAAGTATATAGATATATTTATAATTAAGTCCAGATTAAATTGTTCAAGAATTGTTTTTATTTTATTTGTATAGGTAGCCAGGTAGGTACTTACTTACCTACCTAGATAGGTATAATAATAATTGGTACATAGGCACCAACATAAAAAATAGGGGCTAAAGTTGTTTTGAATAAATTGAAAGATAATAAACAATTATCAGTTTAGTAGACCAGGCACCAATAAAATAGATTTAAATAAATACAACTTGAAACTTTATTTTTCAAAATAATAACTTACCTATGTAACGTTGTGTATATATAGGTACACATACAAAACAATTTTAAACGAGCGACTATTTAAAGATTTTAAATACACCATATTTAATAGATTAAATCATGTCAAATAAGTGTCCCAGTAGGTTAGGATTAGGTTGTTAGGTGTAGGGGTATAGGTTTCGAGTCATGATGCGGACATAAAAACTATATAATCAATAGAAACAAATTTTTTTCATTTTTTTTCGTGATCATTACTTTTGTGCACTCTATGCGAGATCGGCGCGCTGAAAATTAGTAGTTCCACATGAAACAACATATCTCAACTTGACGGCCGGCCTATGGTAGTTACAGTGTGAACAAACATAGACAAATGTTTTGTGATATCACATGCAGTAACTTCGCGTGTCTGGACATTAAGCGTTATATAAGAGTCTTTGAGACATCTCCAGGCTTCAAACTTATACATCTCACTGCTTAATGAGAGGACTACGTAACGTCTCTGAGATTATATTTTGCACACAGGGTACGAGTATCTACATTCTACACTGAGGCTCGGGCCACACTATGCGTTTTAGAGATGTGTCGTTCGCGAACGAGCGGATCTTATTGAACGGGTCAAAGTAGTGACCGATATGATCCAGATCGCCGAATCGAGGTGATCCGGATCACCTGATATTTTTTTTTCGTATTGGTTCTTGGTTCATACTATCTCCCCGATTCCCGAAGACCCGAATCCTATAATAGGTACTCGAGGCACGAACGACGCGAACAGTGTGAACCGTGTTGATTCAGGATTAAACCATTTGGAATTGGAATCACAAAAAAACAAGACTGATAGAGACACGAGTTTTTGATAACACGTTATCATTATAATATATTTGCACATTTTTGTTTTTCTCCTCTTCATAATTTTATAATGTCATTTAACTAATAATAATAATTAAATAACTAATGACTATTAGTATACAATAAATATAATTATATAAATCACAACATGTTGTGGTTAGGAAATAAAATTTGTGAAATTTTTGATGTTGTGAGTCGAGATCTTCTTTTATTTACAACTTGGTCTGCTTTCGAAAATATCCTCTCACAAGGTACTGATGTTGCCATAATACACAGTCTCCTTTTAGTTAGTCTATACAATCGTGGGTACACATTTTTGTGCTTAGCCCACCAAACCAAAGGATTTTCCGCACAATTGATCATTCAAATACTTGTCAACTTCAATTATACCTGCCACTGACGAGTTGGATCCTCCGATCAAATTCACTAGAGTTTCATCAAACTCTTTCCACATCATTGAACTTGTATTACTAGTAGAGGTAGATGTAGAAACTTGTTGACGTATTGGTTCGTCTGATTCTAATATAATACTTTGAGCTTTAGTCTTTAAAAAACGAAATGCATTCTTACAATGATTTTCATTAGAGAATGCAAATGTCTTGAACCTTGGATCCAATAATGTAGCTTGATTAATTAACGGGTTCTCTTCGTAATTACCAAATCTTGCATGCAACTCATCTTTTAAAACCTGACACATGGAACTAATTTCTTTTGGTTTTGTATTGATATTATTAAAATTTAAAACAAACTTATTTAATGTTTTAATAAAAATGATTTCTTTTGATAAAGTTACATATTTTTCAGCACTTATTTCAACAGTCATTTCATAAAAGATTTTAAAAATGTCCCGGCCATTTTCCAATATAACCCAGTCTTGTGGGCTTAAACAGTTTAACTCTGGATTACCTATAACTGCAAGAGTGGCAATAATTGGATCTTTAATTGCAATTACTCTATTAATCATATCGTATGTCGAATTCCATCGCGTTGGGCAATCCCGCTTTAGTTTTAAAATAGGTGAACCAAGTTGTTTTTGATAGTAATTTAATTTTGCTAGGGCATGCGAACTTTTTTTAAAATACTGTACTATGGTTTTTAGCTTTGAAAAAGTAGAATCTATACAATTCAAGCTACATTGGACAATTAAATTTATAGAATGTGCAAAGCAAGATAGCCATCTCCAGTTACACCTTCTAATTGTTGATTGTTGTTGAGCTGCATTATCAGTTATTACAGCAGTAAGTTTATATATGAAATTCCATTCCTCAACTAGGTTTCTTAAAAAATTAGCCAAATTTTCACTTGTATGTTTTTCACCAAACTTAATACAGCCTAATAATATAGATGAAACAACTGTCTCGTTTTTTGGGGTCAATAAAATGTGCTGTTATGGATATAAAACTTTGGTTAGACCTGGAAGTCCAACCATCTGTTGTCAAACACACAGCTTCAACATTTTATCCTTCGCGCGTTCAACAGTCATATCAAACATCTGAGGTAACAAACTTTGGGTAATTTTTTTTCTGTAAGTTTTTTAATGTAAGTTGGACATAAAATTTTAATTAAGTTACGAAATTCTTCATCCTCCACCATACTAAACGGATGATATTCCTTCACAATCATTTTTACCAACTGTTGATCTATCATTTTTGATTTGCTCATAGGTATCGGCTTATGGATGAAGTTTGCAATAGAGCTTTGCTGTTTGTTATGTGGTCTTAAAAATGCTGTTGATGCTGTTGCTACTGAAGTAGATTGTTTTCTAATCGGATTTTGGTTCATCGATGTTGAGGGTTCTGGATCATCAATAATCTCAGAATTTGATTCATTTACCTATAATTTAGAAGAATTATTACCAGAGCTCGGATATTCATGACGTGGCATATTTTTTTCGCGCAGCCAGAATTACACCGGAGTGGGATACAAATTTGATTCATGAAGTCTATATTACAAATATGCAACTTTTTTTTGCATATTTTTGCATATTTGACATTTTTGAGCATATAAATACATATATTGATCATTTAATGGCATATTTATCTCATACTCACATATTTATTAATATACACGAATCTCGTAATCGCCTGTCGACGACCATTATTATCTTATCGCATATCGTTAATAGATTAATATTATAGCCTAGGTATAGGTAAGTATATTGTATAACAGTATAGATTGACTGCTTGGGTGGGGTTTATCTACATTTTCGACGAGTTTATATTTTGTTGACATTAAATATTTTCAGTTTGCTGCAGTCCTCATATGTTGTGTTGTTGTGTTTATTAAACTATACCATTTTTCTGATACACGTTTTTTTTTTTTAAATTATTATTCACAAAATGCCGAAATGTTCGTCAAGTTTAAGTAGTTTTGTGAAAGAATTTGGGGAACATGTATTTAGTTCCGATGGTAAAATATTATTTTGCAAATTGTGTGAAGTTAAAGTATCTGCAAGTAAACGATTTTTAGTAACAAAACACTTAAAAACTGCACAAAGCATGAGCATACAGTAAATCTCCGAAAAAGACGCGAATAAAGTACAATTCAAATGTTATTTACACAAAATACAAACAAGAAAAGTGATTTTAATTTCGATCTTGCTGAAGCATTACTATCAGCTAATATTCCACTGTACAAGGTAAATAATTTTAAATTCAAAGAGCTTTTAGAGAATTATACTTCTAAAAATATCCCCGACGAATCAACCTTAAGGAAAAATTATGTAGATGATATTTATAAAAAAAATAAAATACAGGCCGAGGTCTTTAATCGTAAAATTTGGGTATCAATCGATAAGACCAAGGATGTAGATGGCCGCTAGTCATGCTTGTTAATTGTGAACATTTAGAAAAAACAAATAGTACAACAATAGCTCAACTCTTTGATAGATCTATGATTTTAATTTGGCCTCAAGGAGTAGAACACAATAATGTTTTATTGTTAGTTAGTGACGCCGCACCATGGTAAAGGCCGGATCAGCGATTCAAACGTTTTTCCCAAAAATGTTTCATGTTACTTGTCTCGCTCACGCTTTACATCGTGTAGCTGAACAAATCCGCAGTGATTTTCCGTTGGTTGACAAACTTATTTATTCTGTCAAAAAAGTCTTTCTTAAATGTCCAGCAAGAATAAACATATTTAAAGACGAAGCACCAGAACTAAGTTTGCCTCCAGAACCTGTGATTACACGTTGGGGGACGTGATTGAATGCGGCTATTTATTACTGCGACTCATATAAAACAATTAAAATATTATAGAAAAATTTGATCCTGATGATGCTTTGTTTATAAAAACAGCTCAAGAAGTTATGGTTGAACGTAGAGTTGAAGCCAATTTAGCTTTTATTAAATTAAATTTTTCATTCTTATCTATGGCTTTAATATCTCTCGAAGAAAAGGGGAAATGTCTATGAAGTTCAGTTGCCATTAAAAACGTCGTTTCAGAAAAATTATCAATTGCAGCTTCATCTCCTCAAGGTAAATCAATACACACAAAATTTCAAAAAGTTTTGGAAAAAAATTCTGGGTATAAAGTATTATCCAAAATTTCTAAAATAATAGATGACAAAACAGATTCGTTTGATGGACTTCCTGAAGTTATAGAAACTATCGACATTGTTAACTTTAAGTACGCACCGGTCAACACTGTAGACGTGGAGAGGTCATTTTCAGCTTACAAAAACATACTGTCAGATCGTCGAAGATCTTTCAAATTTGAAAATATATCCAAAATCATTGTTATACAATGTAATCTTAATATTTAAATTATTTAACCTACATAACATGTATTTTAGTTTATATATTTATATTTATAATAATTAATTTCTACCATGCATTTTTTTATAATATATTTGGAATTAATAATAACCTCTTTTTCGCGTATATTTTTTTGCATATTTTTGTTGAAAAATAGGTATATTTGATATATTTTGAGGTATATATTTGCATATTTTTAAATTTTTAAATGCATATTTGAATGAAATTTTGGTCATTAACATCCGAGCTCTAATTATTACCTATTAAATATTCATTATTCATTATTTTAAATTTTAACTGTAATTGTAACTGTTAAAAGGTTGGTTGTGTTCATTTTTTTAGGTAACAAATTTTATTTTTTATTTTTAAAGTTTTCCTGACAATAGGTCATCTAACTTACGGCTAAAAGAATATAAATTTGACATTTTGAAAAAGGTTAACATAAAAAAAAAATTACAAAATCAGTAAAAATTGATAAATTAGAATTTAATAATGTTTTATGAGCTTAGATCTAACTATATTTTAACAACAGTAATAGGTATGTACAATTAAGATTTAATTAAGAATTAATAAAAATGAGAAAATAATAATACAATAGACAATTAGCGTAGGAGGTCATGTGGACGTCCACGCTTGAGACGGCGTATTGGAGGAGGGACACTTAGGTTGTAGTATTTAGAGCTGCTAGCAGACTGTAAGTGGTTGAAGAAGTTGATTGTTAATTTCTTTATATACTCAGTTATAGAAAGTAGCTGGAAGTCCGTGTGCAGTGCAGCATTACGTATAAACCATGGGGCGTTAGATATTGTCCTGAGGACTTTAGATTGAAATATTTGTATCTTGTGTATATGGGTCTTAGCACAATTTCCTCACACAGGGACTGCATATAAAAGTAATGGTCGTAAAATTTGTTTGTATATCAAAATAGAGCATTTCCAGCTTAGCGATGATTGTCGGTTTAGCAATGGATAAAGTATCTTTAGTCTCTGGTAGCCTTGTTGAAGTTTAGAGGTGTTGTGTGGGTTCCAAGTTAGTTTCCTATCTAATATTACGCCGAGATATTTGATGCTAGGTGACCAGGGAATGTTATTACCATACAGTTTTAAATCGCCGGGAGTTTTGGGGCGACGTTTAGTGAAAAGAACTGCTGTGCTTTTTTGAGGGTTCAGTTTTATTTTCCATTTATCTCTCCATTTTTGGATGTGATTCAGGTGGTCTTGAATATTTTTTGTCACTGTTTCAACGTCTGTAGAGCTTGAATATATTGCGCTATCGTCGACATAAAATGCTATTTCCGTATTAATTGAAAGTCTGAAACATATAGGTTAAAAAGTAACGGAGAAATTTTTGAGCCTAGAGGTACACCTGCATTTATAATTTTTATTTGTGAAGTAGTGTTGTTTATTTTGACTTTAAAACAGCGAGCAGTAAGGTAGGATTTGATTAGATTGTAAATAGCATTTGGGGTGTTTTACATTTTTAGCTTATATAAGAGTCCGTCATGCCAGACCCGAGCAAAAGCTTGGGCTACATCTAAAAAGGCGGCACCTGTATGTTGTTTTTTTCGTAACCATCGCTTATATGTTCTGTTAGACGTAGGAGTTGTTGGGTAGTTGAGTGATTTGATTTGAATCCAAATTGGAAATGCGGAATAGCATTTATTGCATTTAAATAATTGGTGAGCTTGGAGTGTATAATTTTTTCAAATATTTTTTGAAACTGATGACAGTAAACTAATAAATCTGTAGTTACACGGGTCAGTGTTATCTTTGCCTGGTTTTTTGATCATGATGATTGGGGCCAGTTTCCATTCCTTAGGAAAATATCCAATTTTTATTAGGGAATTGAATAATATGGCTAAATAAGTAATTGCTTTCCTAGGAATATTTTTTAGAATAGCATTGGTAATTAGATCGTGGCCGGGTGTTTTTCTTTTTGGTAATTTTTTTATTATATCTAAGATTTCTTTTGGACACGAGTAAGGTAAAACATTTTGTGGAAAAATATTGGGGTCACATAGTTTTTGTTTGACTAGATTGTCTGTAGATTTTTCAATTGCAGAATTGTTTAAAGTGAAAATATTTTCAAGAGTGTGGGCAAACAGTTCACATTTTTCCGAGTCAGTATTTAGGTAAATATCACTCGCTTTTAAAGGGGGGATTTCATTTGAGTTTGGTTTAATTAATCTTTTGGTCGCTGCCCATAGGTTTGAGTCTGCTGAGTGTATAGCAGATAAGTATTTTTGGTAACTATTAATTCTATGTTCTTCTAGTTGTCTTTTAACCTCTTTCGTTAAATAATTAAATTTTTTTCGATCAAGTGGTTGTCTGTACAATTGCCAGAGTCTTCTGGTTTGATGTTTTGATTTGATTAATTTTACAATGTTGAGGGGAAGTTGATTAGGACTATAATTTATTACCGTATAGTTTTTTTTGAAAATTCTTCGGCCGCTTGACATATGATTTCACGTAAATGTGTTACTGCAGTGTCTGCACAGTTAGTATTTAATATATTTTTAGGGATAATTAGATTTGTGGTGATGTGTTGTTTGAATTTTTGCCAATCTGCTTTACCGGTGATGAGTTTGCGAGTAGGAGTTGAGTAGTAGTATTAGGGGGCTTCTGAGTCCATTTTTTTTTTCAAACATTATATTCGTTGGTTTTTATTTTTTAAAATATATCCAGGAGGTTTCTTGGTTCATTTTTCAATTTAAAAATAAAACAATTTATTCTGTAAAAATGTTCTATATTTATTTTTTCAAATATAAAAATATATTTTATAATAATAATAAACACGTAAATACATAAAAAAATCCTATACAAGTTTTCTTATCTCTCTAGTTAATGGTACATATTCAATAATACGATCATGAATTAAAATACAATAAGCAGTCACACCGGTAAGGTTTTCTGAAGCATCAATTTCGATACTAACATCAACAGTAGAAGCTGTACTTTCATCATTTTGCTTTGATGCGTCTACAACGACAATTGGTGCAGTTGATTTAAATGCTGAAGGACTTAATATTGGATTTCGTTCTCCTTTTTCATAATAAGATTCTTGAAACGATGTATACATATTGTATAGTACAGTAAAATTATTTTTTTCAAAGTCTAAGTTTAAATTATCGTAAGGGTATAGAACTGAATTTAGAATTACTTTAATGTTTTTCAAGTTACAATGATCAAATTGACTGCAATCTTTTTCAATAACTCCTTTTCGATTTTTCTGTAAACCTATTATAATATATCGTGGTTTTTCTAATTTTGATGCAGTTTTCAAATTCCAAACCACATTTTTTGTAGTTCCTAATTCAGGGTATTCATAAGTTTCATATGATCTAAAAGGAATGAATAAACTTTTCTCTTTTTCTACAATTTTCAACAACTTTAATCGTTCTGCATCGTCTACACTAATATGCGGAATTTTCCAAATAACTTTATTAAGTGTCATTGAACCTGAAGTCGTTGATTTAGGTGTTTTTACGGTTAAAAAATTTAAATCATTATTTGTTCTGGTTAAAATTAATTCAAATCTTGAATTAATTAAAATTTTTTTAAAATCTTCAAAAAATCCTAACCAATATTTTAAAGGAATGCAGGCGGTAAATTGACCATCATTATCTGTTATTATTGTATTATTTTTAAATGTCCAGCCTGCGTTTTCATAACAGTAATAATTATCCGGCGTACTTGATACATATCCTTTTAGTGAACTAGTAACTCCTAGATTGCGAGTTCTGTCTACTTCGATGCCATTGATTTCTAATCGTGCTTGATCAAAAAAAAAAGATAAACCATTATTACATAGTTTAATTTTTTCTGCTTCTTTAATTATTCCTTCTAGATAAAGATAACTTTCATGGAGATATGGATATACGTCTGTTTGTTGAACTGTTATTCTAATTTCATCGTTGTTCCCAAACGATGATGTATAAGGAGTGTAAGAGTGATATTCAATTTTAGTAATTTTTGAATCATTCATGTATTTTGAATCAACATCTAAAATGTTACTTTCAGGCATTTTTTAATTTATATCCTAATTTTTTAAGAATATTTTTACTTTTAAACGATAATTTTATTTTTTTAATATTTTTTGATGTTGTCAAGCCTAAATCAGTTTTATGACTAACTGATTTTATTAGTGGTGATGGTCTTATATTATTTTTACTATTAATAAATTTTAACCCCATTTTAAGATCCGTAACGTTTAATATGTAAAGCAATTGTTATTTTCTCATTAAAATTATGAATAGGCTTACCGTCTTGATCAACTAATTTAATTTGAATTGAGTCAACGGTTGTAGTATTTAATCCGTAATAGATAAGGTTTCTCGGTGCTTCAATTATCTTTGATCCAGTTCTTCCATCAGGAAAAAATTCATAAATCGAATGAGATGGTTGATTATTGTTAAATGAACCCTGAGCTATATTACACATTACTTTTATAGAGTTTACTTCATTTATATTAACAGGTTTCTCTGATCGATAAACTTCACACTCTAAATTATTATATTCTTTTTTTTCAAATCCTAATACAGAAGCAAGACTATTTTCAACATTGAAATCTATTACTTGATTACATTTAATATATGATCTAAAATCTGTAGAATTTGACCACAAATCAAAAATGATATATTGTTCTTTTGAGTTCTTAATATTTTCTTTATCAATTATTTTTGTAATATAATTTTTAATATCAGTTATTTCATAACAACCATTTTCAATTTTTATGTCTATAGATATATCTTTACTCTTATCAGTTAGATCATCAGTGATTATTTTTATTTTTAACTGATTATTTGAATCGTTAATATTTGGAATAGTATTATATGTTTGTAGACAAAGCAGTGCGATTTCAGAGTCTTCGTATACGTTTATTGGTGGAAAATAATTTGTTGATAATGTAGGTTTCTCGCCAGTAAGAGTTAAAGTAACTGATTCATACATTGTAGAAATTTAAGACATAAATGACCGCAAATGAAAGTATTAAAATTTTGATAGTTTGAATAATTATAAAAAATAATATAGCCTTTAAAGTATGTCTGCAATTCAATCGGAGGTGGTAAATCTCCAAAGCTATCAAAATATACAACTGTATTTCTATTTTTATAAAATGATACCCAATGAGTTCCTATACCACTTGAAGTATCTAAGTTTATCACTCCGCACTCGATTTTATTTGGTTTTTTAGGTAAGTTATCACGTGAAAAGACACCTCGAAAATGATTAATTTTTAACTTGTTAACGTATTTTATAATATCATACTGTGTAAGCGGTCTATTTGGTAACATTTTTTTTTTTTCCATTTGTCTGTTATTTTCTACTTCTAACCTTTTTTGTTAAGGTATAAACCACTTCCACGTTTTTTAGAATTTTTTATAGCATTATATAGAGCTGAAGTACCAGAAGCTAAAGAACCGAGAGCAGATAATCCTGCGAAAATAGGTATTAAAGGTAAAACACCACCTATTTGATTTGTAATCGGTATTGACCTATAACCTTTTTTCTTAAATTTATTTTTTGGTTTTTTCTTTAGAACTGATTTATTTTTCAATATAACTCTAACTTGATTTTTTTGTTTCTTTTGTTTTTGATTGTTACAACCCATTCCTATTTTTCGCTTTACTTTCATTGCATTCACTACAGCATACGCAACAGCTTTTTCTTTTATAGATCCTGATTTTACTCTTTCCCAAGCACGATTTTCTAATTCTTTATCTGCTTTATGTCTATCAACCAAGTTATTACTTTTTGAGTATGCAATATCATGGTCTCTACACGCTGAATCTAATGGATTGATACCTTTATCACCTCGTTCTAATCGTTTCTCTAATTTTGTACCCGGTCCACAAAATTGGTAACCTGGTACATGAATTTCAAACGGAAGACTATTTATAGCTGAATTTAATAATCCTTTACCAGTTTTAATTGGTTTAGACTTATAAAGTGAACGCATCATATACTACTAACATTATTTATCCAATTGTTGTACTATTTATATTCTTTTATAATATGGAACTAATTGAACAGAAAAATAAGTTAGATATTGTAAACGTAGATTCTCAGATAGTTAAGAAACCATCAAGACATGGATCATTATTTCCAGACAGTATTCGTGCAATAATTGTTGGACCCTCTGGATCAGGGAAAACAAATGTTATGTATAATTTAATTATTCATAAAAATGGACTGAAATTTGAAAATATATATTTATACACAAAAACATTAAATCAAGAAAAATATATTTTACTAAAAAATATAATCGACGGTATTAAAGGTGTTAACTTATACATATTTACAAATGCAGAACAAGTTATTAAACCAAACTTAGTTAAACAAAATTCAATTTTTATATTTGACGATGTTATTTGTGATAATCAAACACCAATACGTGATTTTTTCAGTATGGGTAGACATTCTGGTGCAAACTCAATATTTTATTTAGCACAGACATATTCTAAAATACCCAAACAACTTGTAAGGGATAATACAAATTTTTTAATTATATTTAAACAAGACGATAAAAATTTACGACATATTTTTGATGATCATTGTTCAGCAGACATGGATTTTTTCAAGTTTCGTCAAATGTGTCATTTATGTTGGAAACGTGAAGATTATGGATTTTTAGTTTTAGATAAAACATGTGAAATTAATCATGGTCGATATAGATGTGGTTTTCATACGTTCATAAGTACCTTATAAATCATTAATAATATAATTTTTTAGTATATAAAGACATATATTTTTATCATATGTATTAGTTGTTTAACATGGTGTACAGTAAAATGTTGTTAAATCATTTAATAACATCTAAGAAAAATATAAAACGAAAATTAATAGAAATGAAACGAGGTATTATAAGTTCTGATCATGACTTTCGTGAGACGTTTAAACCAATAATCGATCCTCTTAACACTATTATAGAAAATAAAAAAGATACTGAAGCATTTAAAACAGTGGAAAATATTGATGAAAATGCAGATAATAGTTTATCAGTTTCAGCCTTTGAAAATTTTTTAAATACACCTTTTGAATCTAGAAAATATGATAAATCATTTGGATTATTTTATGATAAAACCGATGACAAACTCAAAATAGGAAATTACCCTGTAACTTTTATAAATGGTCATTTACATGTTTTCGGTAAACATTTTCCTTGGACGATTGGTCTTTGGTCGTTATTATGCGAGAAAGTACCTATACAAACTACTTTTGAAGACATTGAAACATATTATGAAATATTAAAAACTACGAAAGTTCATCTTAAATCAGATGGAAAACCTAAAACTAATAGCAATTTTAAATGGAGACATGTTATAAAACCACTATACGAACGAATGAAAAATGATTTAAAAAACTCATCTCCTATAAAAACTTCATCTAATTTAAATCTAGCTCAATTTGATGATCATCTCTTAAAAAGAAAAAAAAAAAGATTGATGATTCTGGACTTGGAAATGATCAATCAAATTTTTCATCACCAGTAAAGTTTACACCATTGGAAAGTGAAATAGATCCGGATTTAATAAATTTTACTACACCAACTTCTAAAACGGGATCTGGTTTATATAAACAGGTAATACCGAAAACACAAATAGTGTATTACGATGATCCTAATGAACTAGTTACAAGACTCAATCTTTTAACATCTTCTCAAAATGCAGGTAATACAGGTGTGAATAACGAAATTATTTCTATTTTAGAAGAACTACGTGAAAGGAATATTATATTATAATTAATATTAAATATAATCTAATAATTATTATTAGATATTATATAAGCTAATTTAAAATAAACGTGTATTATTTTTAATAATGTCTGCATTGGAAAATATAGCTAATGAATTGCATCAGTCTGCAAGAAGAACTTTTCCGAGACGGAAAGTTATTACACAATTTAAGGACGATCTTTGGCAAGCAGACTTAATAGATATGCAATTACATTCTAAAAAAAATAAAGGTTTTAAATTCATTTTAATAACCATAGATACGTTTACTAAATATATATGGACATTTCCCTTAAAAAATAAATCTGCTAAAGAAGTTACAAGAGGTATGTCTAATATTTTAAAAAAAAATAAGCCAAAATTATTACAAACAGATAACGGTACAGAATTTTACAATAATCAATTTAAAGATTTAATGAAAAAATATAGTATTAAACATTATTCAACTTATAGTAGTATAAAAGCTGGAATAGTAGAACGAGTTATTCGAACAATAAAAAATAAAATGTATACACATTTTACTGCAACAGGATTATGGAACTGGTATAATTCTTTAGATAAATTAATTGAAAGTTATAATAATACAATACATAGAACAATTAATTGTACTCCGCTAGAAGCTAGATCAAATTCAGATAATATACAATATAAAACTATTATTCAAAAAACATATAAAAAACCAAATTCAAAGTTAAAAATAAATGACAAAGTACGAATATCAAAGTATAAACATCATTTTAGTAAAGGATATACACCAAATTGGACTACGGAAATATTCACTATTGTTAAAATTTTAAATACAAATCCAATAACTTATCAGCTAAAGGATAGTTTTAATAATATAATAACCGGTTATTTTTATAAAGAAGAAATTAGAAAAACAAAATTTCCTAATACTTTTCTTATTGAACGTATTTTAAAAAAAAAAAATAATAAAATGTATGTTAAGTGGTTAGGTTATAGTAATAACTGTAATTCATGGATAAATATTAATGATATTGTTAAATAAATTATGAGAATTTAGATACAGTCTATGAAATAATTTCAATATTTATCTATTTATACTAGATATTTTAATATTTACAATCATAACAATTTGTTTAATATGTTACATAAAGCAAAAACACAAAACATTATATTGTTTATTTAATAGTATATATATATGTATATATAATTTTAACATATATAAAATAATAACACATTACATAACTGTAATTCATGGATAAATATTAATGATATTGTTAAATAAATTATGAGAATTTAAAAAAGTCTATGAAATAATTTCAATATTT